AATTATTTTAGACAGCAATTAAGCTCTAGGGCAGTGGTTCACAACCTGTGGGTCCCCAGGTGTTTTGGCCTACAATCCCAGAAATCCCAGCCAGTTTACTAGCTGTTAAGATTTCTGGGAGTTAAAGGCCAAAACATCTGGGACCCCCAGGTTGAGAACCACTGCTTTAGGGAGAAGGGTAGGAACAAAGATGAGTTTTGATACCCTGCTATCCATCCATCATGCCTATACTGGACCCCCACCATTGACATCTCTGGAAGCACTTGGTTATGGTCACAGTTGTTAATGCAATTCAACAGTAGTTGTCCATTCATCTCTCTGGTGCAGGAGGTTCCACCATCCTACATCATAGAACCTTTTGAATAGAATATATATTTTCTTGTTTCCTTTCCCAAAATGACAGAAAGGGAAGAGGAAGTGAGGAAGTCACTACTGCATTATCAGTGTGGATAACAGCAACTGCTGTTATTGTGTGCGTTCTGACTTAAGGAGACTCTAAGACATATCATGGGGTTTTCTTAGCATGATTTGTTCAGAGGAGGTTTGACCTTACCTTTCTCTGAAGCTGGGAGTGTACAACTCAACCAGATCACCTAGTGGGTTTCCATCACTGAGCTGAGATATAAACTCTGCAATCCAGGTCAGACCACAACACCATGTTATCTGCTGCAAAAACATTATGGCAAAACAACTTGCAAGCTGAGTATTGATCACTGTGCATTATGGGAAAGAGTAGCAGAATTTGCCAACAAACTCCCTATGGTCTTGAATCTGCTTGTTAGTCAACAGATGATCAATATACTGGTAGTTATGAAATCAACCTGCAGACTCTCCATTGCCAGACTGGGGCCATATTGAAAAGAAGGAAACATCAAACATGATTTCTTTGTCTTTTTAGATCACTATCATGTAACCACTTGTGTCAACGCAAGTGAGGGGAACCCACAGAGCTATCGATTCGGAAACACATATATTTCCTGTTCTTGAATCTGTCTCTGGTCTTGCCAATGATGGCTGGGACCCTGTGGTTTTGTGGTGTGCAATGCCTTTACTGCAGACATGGAGTATGATTTTCTTATGATACTGTTATTTGTTAACACACCCATAACAATAGTTACTTCTCAGCTGTAATGAGTGTCACTTTCTCTGTATCCAACTACATAAGAAGTAGAGTTCCCAAGAGTTCCAGTTTGTACATGGTATCCTATATTTATGGTTCTAAAGTCAGGAAGTGACATAGGAAGTCCTAGATTCTGTATTTAAGATCTGATAGCAACCATACTCCCATCCCAACAAACCACCCAAGCATTTGTTATGCATGCAGCAATATGGTCTTAGACACCAAACCATGGAGGTCTGTTTGTTAGGATTGCAGTTGGCATGACATCACTTTTCCTCTTTCTGGCCATGCCGATTTGCATGGGTTTGGGGGTTTCTGAGAGATCTGAAATCATAGGAGAGATCTCCCTCTTACAAGAATTTTGGGCCCCATGATGGCCTTCTTCAAGCATACATAAGTCTGAATCCTTTTAATAACCGTAGCTAGAGTTAGATCATTATTCAACCATTTATTCAATAGGCTCACTCTAGTTGGAGCTAGTTTGCAGGATTAAAGCCATGGTGAATTTGTTATTATTGACAATACTTCTGCTGGGATGATTCTGGGATTTGTAGTAAAAAAGTAACTTTTCCAAACTGTGTCCATATTCAGTCCACCATCCCAGTGCTAAATGTTGGTGCTAATGCTTAAATAAGCATTTTCAGCCATAGATTTGGTAGTCAAATGACAGAAGCAGGAAATACAAAACCCCGAATACTCAAAAGTCTCAGTTCCTGAATCCAGACATTGCCTTCTGAACACAGTACTTATTTCTTTCTGGGTTTGTTTCTTGGTTTAAATCTATGTAACCTTTGGGGGAAAACTATACAATTACAAATGGTGTGATTTAACTGCATAAATTTTATGTATGTCTTATTTGTAATGGTTTAAATTGATTTTAAGTTCATGGTTATATGTAGTAATTAGTTATGATTTCTTTGTGTATTGTATGTTGGCATTTAATTTTTTTCATTAGTATGTTGTAAACTGCGTTGAGTCCCCCCGGGGTGAGAAAGATGGTATAGTTTCTGTTGAGATGAAGTTGAAGTCACCTTAGCTGGCCGTTACACATACACCTTGATCATAAGACTTATTGATGTCAGTAAGACCTGTTCCTAAGCAACAAGCCTTGTGATTCAGGTATGTCATTTTGGCGCATTTTTTGTCTTAACTGCTGGTGCTCATGTACATCACCAGTGCGTCACACTCAGCCAAGTGACAGCCATGAGTCAATGTCTTTTGCAATGCAAGTTCCACTTCAAACAATCCAGCACTTCAGTTGAGGAACAGGTTTAGTAGGTTGGCTTTTTTCCCCACTCAGTACTGGATTCTTTTGCCAATAGAAAGCAGACTGCTCTCACAGCAATATTTTGGTGCTAATAATAATAATAATAATAATAATAATAATAATAATAATAATAGGCAACATTCGGTTGTTGGTGTGTTGGCTCCAACTAGAGTACATTCAGATTAGAAAGTAAATTAGCATCAAGTTTTGGCTTTGTAGGGCTATGGATACAATACATCTAAGCTGTGTTTATGAAAAGTTTTTTTATATATCTAAAGGAGCCCTTGGGTGACTTTAGGTAAGTTATACTTTCTCAGCCTCAGGGGAGAGCCCTCTTGAACAATTTTTTTCCAAGTAATAGGAAGTAATAAGTTTACCATATGGTTACCATAACTTGAAGGCTCATACTATCGATAACATGGCTAGATGAAACCTTATGAGGTTATTTCATATCTGTATTTTTTTTTAATGAAGTATTTTGAGAAAGAGGAGCAGGTACTGACTGGATGTGGTGCTGTCTACTTTTCTGAACTGCAGCAAGAGCTTGCAGTGTGAAACATGCCCACCTGGGAGTTGCTGTGTTTGCAGTTTAATTTTGCAGACTGCACGCAAAAAGTGTTTTCTGGTTCACACACTACTTCCTCCACCTAAACCATGTTTGGGTGAATTTTGGCCCTCCAGGTGTTTTGAACAGCAACTTCCACAATTGTGGGAGTTGAAGTCCACAACACCTGGAGAGCCAAAGTTTGCCCATGCCTGACCTAAACAGATCAAGCATGAAATCTAAGGCTTTTGGCATAAGGCGCTATGCATGTGTGGGTTGCCCTGAATTATTCCCTCCGAGGTAGAAACATGATATTTATTATTTTCCTCCAATGGAACTCAGTACTGTAGTCCTGAAAATCCTCATCAAAAATAGTGCTGGGATTTTCTTGTTTTCCTATTATCCCCCCAATGACTTTCCTTTCATATTGTGTCCTTAGTGCAAGTCTGAGGACAGGGCCTTTTTCTCTAAAAGAAACAAAGGAACAAAAACTCAAATAGTAATATGCTCTAAAAATCTTTTCCAGTTTCATGTTAAGGTATAGATACAGCAAACGCATGCTTAAGTATACTGAAATCAAGGTATATAGTCACCTGAACATATTAGTTTATATGTAGAATGCCAAGAGCACTCTCTACTCTTTCTTTTTGAACATATCTATGACATACAATTATAGCACACTTCAATATTCATTTTGAGAAGGGAAAAGGAATAATGGAGAAAATGTTAAAGATTCAGGGGAAGCAAGTCTCTTCACCAAAAATTAACAAAGGGAAAAAGCAGACCAACATCTGGTGCTTTTCTGAAACTGGTTTTGTTCTTGTTTTTATTTGCAAGAACAAAAGGAGAAGTTCCTTCGTCTTTAAAAGTATCACTTTTTCTGATCATTTTGTCTACCTCATGACAAATTACAACTTCTCTTGTTGCTGGAAAATATTGCTTTGCATTTTAACACTAGCCAAGAGGTGCATTCATTGGGTTTTGAAAAAATATTCAAAATATTCAAATTTTAGAGAAAATATGGATTTCCTCCTCTTTGCTGTTTTGGACTTATTCTTTGCAGAAATTATGTGGTATTTTAGTTCAAAGTAAATGTAGTTGGTACTCTATTTATTAAATATAGTCCCTTAAACCTATTCTTCACCTCCACTGCATATTCACTAGGAATGTTAGTGAGATCATATCTGACAGGTCTATGTGTTTTCCCTAATCTCTTTAATCTGATTCTAAATTGTGCAATAAGAAGTTCATGATATGAACTACAGTCAGCTCCAGGCGTCATGCTGCAGAAATGGAGTCTCGTGAATAACCACCAGAAGCAGTCCTTTATCGATGGGCTCCATGGGTTTTTGTCTTCGAAATGTGTAGAAACTGAGTAAAATTTCTATAAGATATCGTCCATTGGCTGGAATTGATTTCCTGAATTTGGAAGGTTTTTTGGTTCAGAAATTTGTGGCCAAATATGCAGCCAAAGGTTCCTGCTATTCTGCCATATAAAATCCAGATTATCTGCTTTGAACTGGATAATATGGCAGTGTAGACTCATATAATCCAGTTCAAAGCAGATTATGTGGATTATCTGCTTTGATAAAAGATAAAGATTTTCCCCTGACATTAAGTCTAGTCATGCCCAATGCTGGAGGGTGGTGCTCATCTCCATTTCTAAACCGGAGAGCCGGAGTTGTCTGTAGACACCTCCAAGGTCATGTGGCCGGCATGACTGCATGGAGCACCATTACCTTTTCGCCAGAGCGGTACATATTGATCTACTCACATTTGCTAGGTTGACAGAAACTGGGGCTAATATTGGGAGCTCACCCCACTCCCCGGATTAGAACCGCAGACCTTTCGGTCAGCAAATTGAGCAGCTCAGCGGTTTAACCTGCTGCGGTGCCACCAGGAGCTCCTATCTGCTTTGATAATCTGGATTAAATAGCAGTGTAGAAGGGGCAACAATCTTTTATATGCTAGTTGTCTGCTACATTTTCTCTTCTTACTACACACAGAATCCCATGTAATGCACACTCATGTGTACACACACAAAGAAATGGAAACATAAATGCAAAGTGCTCACAAACACGTGGCTTTATTCCTTTAAATAGTTGAGCAATTTCTATCACAAACAGGACTGGATAATACAAATAAACTGTATATACAAGGATCCTTATATACAAACTTTACAATAGAGATCATGTTTTTGTCAATAATTCTATTTACAACATACACAGTATGCCACTTTAAAAATGAAACAAAATTGCTTAACAAAGTATTGACCTATTTTTATAAAAGTTTACACATTCATCCCATGGGATGTACCAAACTATGTTCTTGAAACAGTTTTACTGCCATCTAAAACATCAAGTTTTAAATGTATTCAACGTCTTCAAGAGCAAAAGAAGTCTTTTTTTTCCATAGGAACATTATTTTAAAAAATCTCTAATTCATGACATTCAAACACATGTTTGTCTTAAGAAACATGTAGCTCACAGCCACAAATTAATACAAACTTCATAACTAGCCTATCTCCACCAAGATTCTAGTATTCTACTGCCAGCTTTATATTTCAAATGCCTCATGCTTACAATTGTTGCTCTCTTTGCTAGGAAGCCAGACTTTGTTCCATGACTTCTTCTTGCATCTCCCACTGATAGCAATGTGCAAGAAAATATTCTGAAAAAAAATCCCTCAATACAGCTAACACCATTAAAATGAAAATATGCCAGTTCACAGCCTAACATGTATGAATACACTGGTATGTTTTTATTGCTGTTTTGGTGCAGATTTCTCATTTTAAAAATTGGCACAAACATTAGACTCAACAAGCTGATTAATGCTATTTAGGCGAATATTGATATGATACAGACACCGGATAGCTATTCCTAACTAATGTTTGTAACCTAGATATTTGAGATCAAAACACCATCATACTATTCCAGCTTGGGTCAAAGAGAAAACAAACAAAATTCTGTGAAATCCTAAGGATTTGCTCAAAGACATAATAAGCAGAGCTCAGAATTTAGTGTTTTGAATTATGATTTCCAGAATCTCCCAGCCAATAGGTGACCATACAAGCTGGGGCATTCTGGGACTTATAGCCCCCCCCTCCCCCCAAAAAAACTCCCAACTTTTGAAAGTTATCCTCATAGGTCCAAGATGACCAACTTGTTGTCTAAAAGGGAAACAGAAGCAGCAGCATGAAAACAAGTCTGAGAGGTATGGAGAGGAATGCAAGGAAACAGACGGCTGGAGAGATGCCTCATTCGAAGCCAAAACAAGTGGGTGGTTGGGTGTGGAGCTAGAGATGCTCATAGTATGCTGATTAGTGGGTCACCAAAGTGTCTCTCGAGCCAAACAAAATTGAGTGGGATGAGAATTCATAGAAAAAAGTTTGACCCAACTCACCAAGCTTCAGGCTTTTCAAGGGAAATCAACATGATGTTCTAAGTCAGTGGTTCCCAACCTGTGGGTCCCCAGGTATTTTGGCCTAGTTTACTAGTTGTTAGAATTTCTGGGAGTTGAAGTCCAAAACATCTGGGGATCCACAGGTTAAGAACCACTATTATAAGTCAAAGATTTGCAAAACTGAAGATGTTCTGGCACAAAGAAAGCCACATTTCTGCTAGCAGCAAGCTTAGTTTAGAAACAGTCCTTAAATCCAACAATGACTAAAATTATTAATAATTAGAATAACTCAATGAGTTTAAAGTAGGAGTTTCCACTATTGTTGAACTTAACGATTTCGTTCCCTAATCATCAGGCCTTTAAAATATTTATAATGCATATTTTTCATGGTTACACATTCAATGCAGACCGAACACAAGTTACAGATCATATGACAGAAGCAGCATTTTATCAAGAATGAGAACTTCTCTTGTTTTGTTAAGTGTTCTCAGAAGTTCACTTTATAAATTCTTCAAGTGATCAAAAGTATTGCACTCTTCTTTTCTTCAAAAAATCTGAAAGAAATGATCTCCTTCCATTCAGCAAAACTGAACTCCTCGTAATCTCATAGCATTAGTCCTCAGACTATGTTAAAGTAGCCCGCTAGTGCTCCAAGGTCAATGTATAGTGATCGTTGTCTCTTGAGCAGTTCTGATTCTTCAGTAATCCCAATGCTTGAGGAATCTAACAAGAAAGAAGATTTGACAAAATTTTAAAAAGAAGAGACGAGAATATTACATTAGACCAATTTTAGAAAAGGTGACTATAACTGATTTTCATTTCAGCCCCCTGGTGGCACAGCGGGTTAAACTGCTGAACTTGCTGACCAAAAGGTCAGCAGTTCAAATCCGGGGAGCAGGGTGAGCTCCCGGTGTTAGCCCCAGCTTCTGCTAACCTAAAAGTTCAAAAACACGCTAACATGAGTCACTCAATAGGTACTGCTTCTGCGGGAAGGTAACGGTGCTCCATGCAGTCATGCCAGCCACATGACCTTGGAGGTGTCTACAGACAATGCTGGCTCTACAGCCTAGAAATTGAGATGAGTACCAATCCCCAGAGTTGGACACAACTGGACTTAATGTCAGGGGGAAACCTTTATCTTTATCTTACTACCCACGTATAACAACTAAACTTTCTTCTTCTGTTTCATCAACATCATCATCTAGTAACCTTTGTAGCAAAACAGGCCAAGTTTGATCAAAGAAATTAATTGTGACAAGTGGCCACAAAATGAACTCGCTTAATGCTGTGTAGTGTTCTGGGGCCCTTTGCTTGAAAGGGGATGTAATAAAACAGACACAAGGAACTTTTGATCCTTGGGACTAGAACTCCTATAAACCTTTTCTATTGGACATGCTGGGTGGAACTAATGGCATATGGCAAGTGAAAACATGTGGAAGGCACATGAGAAAAATTACTTTTTTGGAGCATAATGTCAACAGCTACCATAGATCTGCTAGTTAAGGTTTCTGGAAGTTGTGCTCTACTACAAATTGGCATCTGCCATCTCCAGTTCAGCTGGCTTTAATGAGGCCAATGACTGTTGACTATTATTTAAAAAGGAATAAGGTTTCCAATTGGCTGTCAGTCAGGATAGTTATATATTACCTCCAGGATCAGAGATATTGTGGAATCGAACATAACTTGGAGGAGTGTAATGGGAAGAGAAGGTTACTGCCCTCATGTACAATTTATGGGCTTATTACAGACATCCATTTGGGTACAGTTAAAACAGGATGGTTCTTACCAGGAAGGAGAAAATCCGCATGCCTTAGCAGATTTGCTGGCACTATGTATGTGAAGCCTCAATGCAAAGTCTTTAACTTGTGTATGTGTGAAAAGAGAGATGAATTCAAACAATTCATTTTAAAAAATGCATTCAAAACTAGTGCTGTTTTAACTCTGGGTCATTGTTGTTTTCCTGCAAAGTGTATTTTAGACTGGCAGCAGCAGTTATTTCACAACTCTGGAAATTCTAGTATTTTTTGAAAAGCTTCCTGGATAATGATGTTGTGAATGTACCAAGGGGCCGATTTCACAGGAATTTCAGGATTAAAGCTGAAGCCCGGTTCTGTGGAGAGGTCAGTGGGATTTCTGCCAAGCACTTTAAATGTGCATTTTGTCTGATGTTAGTTCTGCTAAAACTCTGACTGGCAGTAAAGCTCTGTAGCCTCATCTTTGTCGTAAGCTGCCCAGGAAAGATTTGCCCCCACCTCATATTGTGTTGAACTCTGGTTCCCATTGTCCCTTACTATACGAGCTAAAGCCTCTTGGAGTTGGATCCAAGGCATCCAACAAGCCACCAGTCCCTCACCCTTGAGCCAAACGCAGGAAGGAGGGTTAGTGTTGTACCGGCAATGTTCTCAGGAAGCTCAAACTCCTGCCTTGCCAGAAGCCGTTTCCTTTCAAAGAGAGCTGAATCCAGGCTCTGGCAGCGCGGCTGCTCTTCCCTGGGTGGGTGCAAGGCCTCATGTTTGAGGAGTTCGGTGGCAGAGGGCCTCTGGTTCAGGTTCCTCTCAAGGGCGGCTTCCAGGAACCGTCTCATGCTAGGGCTGCAGTCCTCAGAAATGTCCTCCAGTGGTGGAGCTTGCTTATGGATCTAGCAAAAGGATCACAAAAGAAGCGGCTTTGAACATAACACTCAACAAAAGGGAGGGGGAACCGTTTCAAAAGCTGCCTAGTGTGTGTTAGAAAGTTACCGCCCTAGGAATTTCCTATGTCTGACTCATTGTTTGGAAGGTTGCCACCCTGTTGCTGCACTAAAGACACACAAGAAAGCTGGAAACTTAGCCAGTTTCACCCTAAAACAGCAAACCTGAAAAACCAGCATCAAGTTCGTCCAAAGGTCTGCAATACTAGGCTCATCGTTTTGGAGAAACAAACACACAGCGCTTCAGAGGGTGACCTACTTTTGGAGGCCAAAAGGGAATGACGGGGGACATGAGTGAGTGAGCAAGAGGTTTCTGCTTTTTTTTCTGCAAGGATTCTGTTTTGAGCATCGACAATGTGGTATAGCCTTTACACACACTGAAAGCCGTGTTACACCTGAGAGTCACAGTGCAGATTTTATATTCTTGCAAAGAAAGAATTGTTCAATGTGTGGGAAATCTCTCCACTCTAAGAAATGCTTTGAGTAATTTTCTTACTTTTCTTAGTATTATATAACTACATCTTCTATTTCTAGCTCTAGTTTGCAAAGCCTACAGTCCTGAGACTGCATGGACATTTGAGCACATGACATCAGAGTTTCTCTTCCAGCATGCCTATGAACCTCATGGCTTGAATTTTCCACTCCCCTCCCATTCAGATCAGAGATAAACATGCATAGTTATTCCCCTTAATCATACTTCCACAATTCTGTAATGGTTTACCAAAATGAAACAATGGGAAAGAGTGTTGTGGGAGTCTAGCAATATTCCAGCTTCTTTTTTAGACCTGTAGGTGTGACACTTTGCTCCCGGCACATGGCAAAATCCACACTTGGCCTATGCCACTTCAGCACATATTTGAGGGTCATGTTTAAAATTATCCTACTCCACTCCTCATCTAAATCCTTCACTATGCTAGTTTTCTATGTGGACAATTATGCATGTGGATGAGTATCCAACATGGGAGATCCCACATGCAATTTAAGTGCTCTCTGAATTATACTGCACTGGGGCCAATGGAGCGGAGATTTGGGAGATCAAGATCCATTTGCCCAAGTTTAAAAATGGCAACAAGAGAAATAACAATTTACTTCATAGCAACAATAGTGGGAGACAAGATGACCCTCTCTTATGTGTCTTTTTGGTAAGAGAATGATTAGCCCAGTCTGTTCAAGAGCAAACCAGAGCACATCGAGAAACAGGGTTGAAGAGGGCTTGTAGGTCACATACTTCAGCCTCTGCACATCCCCAGCAGATGGCATCCCCAACCTGTCTCATTCCTGCCTTTTCTCCCAGATGTACATATGTGTGCATGCATGTACATGCTTTCATGCCATCTGTATTCACTTGGAAGCAGGATTTCCTTAGGCAAGGAAATGCAGAGGTGGTTTGCCATCTCCTTCCACTGAAATATTACCTACAACAATTGGTACTCATTGGCAAGCCCCCTTCCAAATATTAATCAGGTCTGATCTTGGTTAGCTTCCAAAATCAGATGGAAACTATTGCCTTCAGGGTAGTTAGTCTTTCCTCAGCTTTGAGTTACAGAATTGCAACAGGAAGAGGAAGGAGGTGAATTAGAATTCACCAACCCAAAGTCCATACTTACTATGTAGAGGTAGGAAGGGTATGCTGCACGAGGATATCGGTTCACCCATGGTGGAATGCCCGTTTGCATGTGGATTATGGTTGTTCCCAGACTGTAGATATCAGCTTTGGTATTGTGTCCACGGCAGAGGATTACTTCTGGGCTCATGTAAATCTGCCAAAGATATTCAGAAGGAAATCTAATCAGCAACAATGGTCCCAGATATAAGGAAGCTGTTCCCAGGTCTTCCATGGAAGACATTCAATGAGAGATCAGAGGAGAGGAGAGTGGGTAAACACAGCAGACTCTCTTGCAGGAGCCAATCTTGATGGGGTGGTGCATGATTAGAAGTTGTATACAGTGTTTCCTCACTTACTGTGGGTGTTACGTTCCAGGACCACCCGCAAAAAGTGAACATCCATGAAGTAGGGACACTATATACAGTAGAGCCCTGGTTATCTGACTTCCGCTTATCCAACACTCCATATTATCCGCCGCTGCCTTTGCCACCCTCCCTGCTCGCTCACCCACCCTCCCTCACTTGCTACTCTCCATGACAGGTTCCGGTGGCAGAACCAGGACTCGGCCTGGTGAGTAGCGAACGAGCGAGGGAGGATGGGTGGTTGAGCGAGGTTCACAAAGGCAGAAGCAGCAGCAGAAGCAGGAGCCTGGAAGAGGCGGCCAGGCTCCTGCTTCTGCCTTTGTGGACCTCCTTCTCTTGCTCGCTCACCTGCCCTCCCTCGCTCGCTACTCAACATGCACTCCCGGTGGCAGAACCAGGACTCGGCCCAGTGACGGAGGACGGGTGGGTGAGCAAGTGAGTGAGGGAGGACTGCAAAGGCGGAAGCAATAGCAATAGCAGGAGCCTGGAAGAGGCGGCCAAGCTCGTGCTTCTGCCACTGCTTCTGCCTTCGCAGTCCTCCCTCGCTTGCTCACCTGCCCTCCCTCCCTTGCTCGCTTGCTCACTTCTCACCGGGCCATGTCCTGGTGGCAAAACCAGGACTCAGCCCAGTGAGTAGCAAGGAAGGAAAACCGTGAAACAGCGAGTCTGAAAAGCGAACTGCAAAATAGTGAGGGAACACTGTAATTAGTTATGATTATACAGGCTATATTTCTATGTTGTGCTTTTCCTGCATCACAGGGGGTAAGCATGGATGGCCCATGTGATCTCTTCCAACTCTATTATTCTAGGCTCCCAGTTATTTATGATGAAGACACAAATATTTATTTTTATTATAATACAATTTGGCTGGGATAGGTCGTCTAGTTTCCTGCAGACATTTTAGACTCGAACGTCTATGAGCTACAACCAGCATCATCAATATCTCAGTCTTGGTAGTGATAGATGTCTGGGGACTGAAGGAACATTACCCATAGCCCTGTAAATCCTGGATTGCCCAGGTCTTGCCCAACACTTGATCTGTAAGGACAATGGCACATGTAAGAGAGCATCTGGGTTGAATTTTCATTTCCAAGCCTTCTTACCTCTGTCCCTCGGAGTTCCTTGGGATAGTATATATCTTCTGTCATTTGAACACTTAGGCCAAAGTCCACCAGAACTGCTTTCGTTGACATAAAAACAATGTTGCTTGCTAGAAACAAAGGAGGATAAATGAGAACTTTAGTCTTAGGAGGGAAAAACCTCAACATTTCACTCTAACACAGCAAACAGACCAAGTTGAAGGGTGATGTGGAAGGCAGCCAAGGACATTCTATCTATATAAATAAACCTCCTGTTTGGGAATTTCCCTTTCTGTGCTTAGTGTTTTGTGAGATGGAGAGCAGAGCCCTGCCAGATTCTGGAGGCAGAACCTCAAAAAGTTACATTTTGGACTACAAATGCCTGACCTAAAAAAGAATCAAGCATTGTTTTGAAGGTCAGCGATTTCCAAACCTCACTCACTCATTGTGCTCCCTGGGACAATTATTGAAATGGACAAAGAGCCTTGCAGCATCTGTAGAATTAATACAGCTTGACAACACCTTAACTGCCATGGCTCAATGCTGTGGAATCATGGGAGTTGTAGCTTTCTCTACCAAAAGAGTGTTATTTCTTTAATAAACTATAGACCCCAGGCTTCCATGGTATTAAGCCATTCCAGTTAAAATTGTGTCAGAGCACATTATTATCATCTTACTACTTCATCACACTTGATCACACTTAAGAATGAATCCACTTTAAATCCAGATGCTGCCTCCTGCAGAATTCTGGGGTTTGTAGTTTTGGGAGGAGTCTTTAACAGCCTCACTAAACTACAAACCCCAAAATTCTGCAGGAGGCAGAAATCGGATTTAAAGTGGATTCATTCTTTAGTGTGATGAGGGTATTATTAATGTTACAGTGCAGATAGACCAGGCATGGGGAAACTTCAGCGCTCCACGTGCTTCTAGGAATTGTGGGAGTTGAAGTCCAAAACACCTGGAGGGCCAGAGTTTGCCCATGCCTGGTCTGGAGGACATGTTCTAAAGAGAAGGCTTTTAAACCTTAATGTGCTACTGCAGGAAGGAAAGAAACAGCACTTCCAATGACCTACGTTTTATATCCTGATGTATAACTTTTTTTGAATGAAGAAACTCAAGCCCTTTAAGGATATGCTTTGTCACCCAGATGATCTCAAATTCTCTCATAGGCCCACAGCTTTCCACCTTCTCCAGGACAGAGCCACCTTCTCCTGCCTCCATGAAGAGATGGATTGTCTCATCCCACAAGATGGCCCCATAAAGTTCAGCAATATTCTCGTGGCGAAAGCAGGCTTGGATTTCAACATCTGATGGCTTAAACTGCTCCACTGGGACCTAGGGTACCAAAACACAGATGAAAGAACACCATTAGACCAATGTGCATGGAACCTTCACATACAGTACTCAGGCTGAATCTCCACCAGTGAGATGATAATCCCAACCCCAAATAATGCTTTTGAATGGAACATCCATAGCTGAGGAAAGAGAACTACAAATAAGGCAAGGGTGGGAATCATGTGGGTCCCCAGATGTCGTCAGACTACAAAGCCCAGCAGCCTTATCAAATGATGAGTACTGTAAAAGAAGCCCACACATGGGCATCCCAATCTATGGATCATGCATAGTCATATTGTTTTACACTTGTCACATTACATCAGGTGTTGGCTGGGCACATTTAAGTCTAACTTCTTTGCACATACACAGGATTCTTCTTTTCTTTTGTTGCAATAACACATGTTTATTAGCCATTATAATTTGGCTTGGAGCTGTATCACTATGTGACAAGCCATACAATGTTTTCCATCTACTGGTACAACAAATTCCAGACTACGGACAATCTGGAAATCTATGTTCTCATTTTGAAAGACCATGAGGATCCAGCCTAGGTCTCTATAGCCACCCACGGACCCACTGTCAAGACTCTACTCTTGGAAGACAATCATACTTGGTGACAAGTGATAGCCTATGATGATGATGATGATGATGATGATGATGATGACAAACTCCTGACTATGAACAGAGATTCATGAAAGCAGAGGTTCCAATGATTTTTCTACGGACCTCAAGTTAATGTGCATGGGGTTCCCAAATAATCTCCCTTCCAGGCACTGACCAGCATCAGACCTGCTTTGAAACCACTGTATCATGTGCCTGAACTCTATGATTAAACTACAGTTTGTAGTCTGTAATATCTCTGCTCCAGTGTACATGTGGCACAAAGGAAAAACAAAACAAAACAAAGAGAAATCCAGCATTTTGTGCTATGGCTCAAGAGACAACTTGGGGAAAAAATATTAGAAGCATACCAGTTTACAAGCCATCCGTTTCTTCGTTTCTGTGTCTTGTGCCAAGTAGACTTTCCCAAAAGCTCCCCGTGGAATAAAGTCAGTCCCAATATTCCTGTAGGTTAGCTTCCAGGGAAATAGGAGTACATCTGAATCAATCTGATAGCGCCCATTTTTGGGATTGATCTAATTTTAAAAAACAATAAAATGGGGAAAATGTTTAAACAGGATAGTTTTAATGGACAATTTGCATTTCATTTAGCAGCAGATCTGTTGACTAAAGATGGAGAATAAACCTGTAGGAAATCAATCTGATACCCTCCTTATGTTTTGGGCTGGAACTTTTAATGATCCTTGACCACTGGATATGTTGTCTCTTGTTTATGGGAGCTTTAGCCTAAATCTAGAGTTTGGAAAAGTTATATTTTGTGCTATAACTCCCAGAAACCCCAAATCAGCATAACCAATGGTCATGTGGACTGCTGGATTTGGGAAGCTGTAGTTGAAATAAGTAACTCTTTTAAGCTCTATGCAAACATGTAGTTATTATCAGGTTGTCAACTCAAATGCAATCTGTTCATGAAGTAGCTTTCTAAAGTTTTCACTCACAAGTTCTTCTAAACTGAACTACCTGGAATTGAGTCAAACATGCATTTTTCCACTGAGCATTAAGCCTTTCCCTAACCTTGGGAAAGTTACTTTTTTATTATTGCTCCCAGAATTGTAGCCCACCAGTAACTTTTTCAAACTGAGGGTCTTCTTCCTAAGTTTAATATCACCCAAGTTCTCCTCTTCTCCTGAAAATAGAGGCTTCAAATGCAAGGAACACTCTTTAATGGACAATTTAATGGACAAGATACTTGGAGGAATGAGACCCACCACGTCCATCCTAGACCCCTGCCCATCCTGGCTTCTGAAGGAGGCCAGAGGGGGATTGGCCGAGTGGGTAACGGTGGTGGTTAATGCCTCCCTCCGGGAAGGCAAGATTCCAGCGAGCCTAAAACAGGCTATTATAAAGCCTGTTGAAGAAACCATCACTGGACCCCACTAAATTTGACAACTTTCGGCCAGTTTCCAATCTCCCCTTTTTGGGCAAAGTCATGGAAAGCGTGGTGGCCTCACAACTCCAGGTATTCTTGGGAGACACGGATTATCTGGATTCGGCACAGTCTGGTTTCAGACCGGGACATGGAACTGAGACGGTCTTGGTCGCCTTAGTGGATGATCTGCGCCGGGAGCTAGACAGGGGGAGTGTGTCCCTGTTGGTGCTCCTGGACCTCTCAGCGGCCTTCGATACCGTCGACCACGGTATTCTTCTGGGGCGCCTTGCAGAGATGGGTCTTGGGGGTACTGCTCTGCAGTGGCTCCGGTCATTTCTGGAGGGCCGTACTCAGAAGGTGTTACTGGGGGACTCCTGCTCAACGCCACAGCCGTTGACCTGTGGCGTTCCTCAGGGTTCCATACTGTCCCCCATGCTGTTTAACATCTACATGAAGCCGCTGGGTGAGATCATCCGGAGTTTCGGGGTGCGGTGTCATCTGTACGCAGATGATGTCCAACTCTGTCACTCCTTTCCACCTGCTACTAAGGAGGCTGTCGAGGTCCTGAACCGGTGCCTGGCCGCTGTAATGGTCTGGATGAGGGCGTACAAACTGAAATTAAATCCAGACAAGACAGAGGTACTCCTGGTCAGTCGCAAGGCCGAACAGGGTATAGGGTTACAGCCTGTGCTGGACGGGGTCGCACTCCCCTTGAAGGCAGGTTCGCAGCTTGGGTGTGACCCTGGATTCATCGCTGAGCCTGGAGCCTCAGGTCTCAGCGGTGGCCAGGGGAGCATTTGCACAGCTTCGGCTCGTGCGCCAGCTGCGCCCGTACCTCGGAAGCCGGACTTGGCCACGGTAGTCCACGCTCTGGTCACATCCCGCATAGATTACTGCAACGCGCTCTACGTGGGGCTGCCCTTGAAGACGGCCCGGAAGCTTCAGCTAGTCCAACGCGCGGCAGCCATGTTATTAACAGGAGCAGGACGCAGAGAGCGTACAACGCCCCTGCTGTCCCAGCTCCACTGGCTGCCGATCTGCTACCGGGCCCAATTTAAGGTGCTGGTGTTAGCCTACAAAGCCCTAAACGGTTCCGGCCCAAAATACCTTGCAGACCGCATCTCGGCCTATGAGCCCACGAGGGCCTTGAGATCTTCCGGGGAGGCTCTTCTCTCGGTCCCGCCTGCCTCGCAGGCACGTCTGGCGGGGACGAGAGAGAGGGCCTTCTCGGTGGTGGCCCCCCGGCTGTGGAACACCCTCCCGACTGAGGTTAGACAGGCGCCCTCTTTAATGGCCTTTCGTAGGAGCCTGAAAACTTGGCTCTGCGAGCAGGCCTTCAACTAGTGTATCTGTGGAAAGACGTTAGGACGGACTATGACTACGAATTTGGCTATGACCCCAGGACTAGACGAAGCGGATTTTTAATATAAGTATATGATGTTATGTATTAGTAGAATGTTGTTGTGTTGTCATGACTTTTGTAAATTGTCTTTTCTATGTTTTTGTACACCGCCACGAGTCGCCCTAGGGCTGAGAGTGGCGGTTAATAAGTGCAAGTAATAAATAAATAAATAAATAAATTAATGACCAAATGAGAACAGCACGTGTAGCATTGAACGCATCCTGGAAATATTTACAATTCCAGGCTGTGATTAGCCTGCCATAAAGAATTTAGTTGTACTTGATTGTCTAGCAACAGCAGCTTGCCTAATGGACTAATAGGCAGGCTTTGCGTAATGCCTCCACCTGGCATCTGTTTGTTCATTCCTGGAACCTGCCAGCTGATCAATTCACAAACTTGCAGGTTTGGCTTCAGAAGTTAAGCAAACACTTTCACAATATTTCCCACCATCAGAGATTGTATGGGGAGCTGAGAGTGTGTACAGAGCAGAAAATTTTCTAAAACAGACTAAATAGATAAAAATAGAAATATATTGTCTAATAATTACATCATGTGTCTCCATAGAAGGCTATGGTTGAATACTGAAGCTTCTTCACTCATCCTAAATGTGGCATTGAAAGCTGCACTGAAGACAAAAACTGTCTTGAGTTCTCTGGCATTAAAAGCAGATCTACAAAAGTTAGTTGGATTACGAGATTAATAATTTTGGCATTGGCTAAAACATGTCTCTAATTAATGTTGTTGCGTGCTTTCAAGTCATGCCTGATTTATGGAAACCCTAAGGTAAGTCTATCTCAGGGATGTCTTGGCAAGATTTGTTCAGAGGGGGTTTGCCATTCTCTGAGGCTGAGAGAATATGATTTGCCCAACCATGTACGTTTGCATGGTCAAGTGGAGATTTGAACCCTTGTCTTCCAGTGTCCTAGTGTAACATTCAAGTGACTACACCACACACACCATCTCCTATCTTACAAAAAGGATGTGCCAATGCCTTTGACATCCAGGAAGCAATGTTTCTCTGAAAACTGGCAACAGCTATGACCCATACATATATCATCTTAAAATAAAAGCTTTTTTTCCCTTCAAAGCTACTTTTTCATTCGTATGCCAGTACATGCAGATTGAGTGGATGGATGAAAACTCATAACACTAATCAATTTAGGCCCCACCTACACTGCCATATTAAATCTGGATTAAATGATTTGAACTGGATTATATGGCAGTGTATACTAATATAATCCAGTTCAAAACAGATAATCTGGATTATCTGATTTGATAATCTGGATGATATGGCAGTGTAGAAGGGGCCCAAGTTTCGTCTGTTTTAAAAATTCTAATACACCTCTCAACAGAAGTTCAGATCAGTTATTGTATTGTATCACAACCAGCTTTGTTTTACTTTTCTGGACTCCAATACCAGTTATGATTCTTAACTGTAGCTTTCCTAACTTCTGGCTGCACCACCAGCCCATATCTCCTTACTGATAAATGTAAGAAGGGAACAGCACTCAGACCTGGGCAGTCTGTGCAGGGAGGTCTACTCCAGTTACCCAGACTTTGGCTGATTACCCTTTTGGTCTTGAGAAAATAGGCCTAAGAATTCAATACAAGCCTTTTAAAACCCAGTCTTTATGGGGGTTAGATGCACATGACCCTTGAAAAATAAGAAAACATGTATTTTAAGAATGCTGTTTTTTATCTGAGGAAGCACCTCTCTAGGAATATCTATGTTCTCCAGAGTAACACTACCCCTGGCAGAAATGACCCACAGGGCTGCACTGGAGGATCTACATAATTCTAGAGTAGTGGTTCCCAACCTGTGGTCCGTGGGCCACCAGTGGTCCACAAGAACTAAAATATTGTACACTGCCTCACCGTTACTACACTGTTGCAACACCCCATGGACCATGTCCCTCGTGGCCATGCTCCCATGGCATGGAGGTAAGAGAAAGCTGTTAGGGGCAGTTTCTTGGATTTCACACTCTGCTTTTTGTATTTTTTTTTCAACCTCATACCCCTCCCCTTCTTTTTTTTACCCAAGTGTTAACAAAATCCACTAACAATAACACAGCCCAACCAAAAAACATTTTCTTAGTGTCTTTGTTTTTAGGCCTGTTTGGGGTGCAGATTCAGAAAATTGCATTGGATAGACCTCATCAGCTCTAGATTATTAAATATGGTATTCTGTGGGCGAGCATATGGCGACTATTGGATGGCATATTTTCTGTATCAGAAACTACATCTGATGTGATCTATCCAATGCAATTTTCTGAATTAGCACCCCAAATAACCAAACCAAATCTAAAATTGACCAAAAGCTGATCCATAACCCTTTTGGTACTAATGTAGGAGAGTGCTCCCTGGTCAAAGTGGTCCCTGGTCAAAAAAAGGTTGGAAACCACTGTTCTAGCGAGACAAGATTAATCAAATTTGTAATCTCCAGCATCTTCCACTAGGGCTAGGAGAAAATCTTGCCTGAAGCTCTGGAATATAATATTGACACCAATGAGGCAAATGGACTCATTGGTTTATACAGGAACTGCACTATTCCTAGGTTCCTATAGAAGAAATGTAGGTTAGTGGGACCCATAATATAATGTGTACTTTCGGCCTCAAGACAATCCTGGCTCCCTGATGAGCACTTTCCAAATGTAGGTTTACACTTACGGTAATGCCTTAGGCGTGTACCTTAGTAAAATAATTATGTGTGAATGGTCACTTAGCTAAGATAATGCAAGTGGTGTGGCAAACCCACTTGATGGGCACAGGGAATGAAGAGTAATCAGGAACTCAGTGTGTTACGTTACATGTGACCTAGAGAAGCAAAGAAACACCTAACTGCTTGATGGTTGCTCCAGTAAACAGAAAGGGAGGGTCACCCACTTTGGCTCAGCTCAAACCATCACACTTTACTGCTTCAGGACATTTAATAATGTTTGGTTTAATGACTAAATTAACAATCACTGGCCAACTAGAATCAAGAAAACATGCACTGTACTTGCAAACCATGGTCTGCACTAAATCTGATTTGATATGATATCTGAATTGATGAAAATTCAACAATGAACGCACTGAGTGGCAAGGAATGTTGCAATGATTTTAGGCTATGGAGGAATCAAGCACTGTAAAGAATGTTGTTTGGAGCTCAGACTATTTTGCATACTAAGCTACAGCTAACACAAACCAAGGTTTGATGTGATGTCTCAACTGAATGCACGCATCACATTAAACCTGTAGAGTCAGTTTTATCAATTTTGTTGTTCATTTGTTCAGTCATTTTTGTTGTTTATTCATTCACTCTCCGTGATCTCATGGACTAGCCCACGTAAAAGACACCCTCAGTTTTTTCAAGGTCAAGCCAGTCACTTCAAGGATAACATCCACCCATCTTGCCCTTGGTCGGCCCCTCTTCCCTTTTCCTTCCTTTTCCCCAGCATCATTATCTTAAAATGCAATAAATAAATTTTATCAATAAATTCCAATAATGAGCCAAGGTTTTGAAGGAACTGTAGCTCAATGGCAGATCCCATGCTTTGCATGCAAAAAGTTCCAAATTCAATCCCTATGATCTTCTGTTACTATTCAAAAAGATGTCTGGCCTCTGCACATTGATGAGCATGATGAATCAATTATCTGATTTGATACACTGCATCTTCCTGAGTCATGATTTAAATCTGCATATATTGGATATTAAACTTGTGGGCCTTATTTAAACATTATAGATCCATGTAAAGATTCAGATAGAGATGGACAGCAGTCTATTTTTAATAATAATAATAATAATAATAATAATAATAATAGTAACTACTTTATGGTTTAAATCTGTATAAATCATTATTTAAATCTGCATATATTGAATATTAAACTTGTGGGCCTTATTTAAACATTATAGATCCATGTAAAGATTCAGATAGAGATGGACAGCAGTCTATTTTTTGTGTGTCAGGAGCAACTTGAGGAACTGCAAGTTGCTTCTGGTGTGAGAGAATTGGCCGTCTACAAGGACGTTGCCCAGGGAACACTCTGATGTTTTATGTTTACCATCCTTGTGGGAGGCTTCTCTCATGTCCCCGCATGAAGAGCTGGAGCTGACAGAGAGAGCATAACCCGCTCTCCCAGAATTCGAACCACTGACCTGTCAGTCATCAGTACTTCTGATACAAGAGATTAACCCATTGTGCCACTTGGGCTCCAAACAGTCCACTACTCCACTCCATATGACAAGCTGAACTGAGGAAAACATATAATCTAAACTTGTAGATTAATGATATATAGCACAATTTGATTAGGATCTAGATCTTGATGGTTCTACATTCAAATCATTAGTGAATCCAATAGCCTTTGATGAGGAGGATTCAACAATTGATTCAGGACAGCAAGCAGTATTCCAAAGAAAACAACTCACCATATTTAATATGATTCCCGACTCTTGTCTTCTGTGATGGCAAATCTGCTTTGCAGTATTGGACACTTGATTTGCAAAAGCAAGCAGGTCTTCCACAGTCCCATACTTGACAGATGATAACAAGGAAACCTCCCGTCTGCTGAACAGCAAGGATTCTGCTCGTTCCTCATTTTTGTTCTTCTCTGGACATAAAGTCAAGAGGCTGTCATCATAAACACCCAGGTCTCCATTTGGGTAGAGTTTCTCCATGATATTGATCACCTCTGACATATTTAGGTCTGTTAACAACAGGTCAATCTCCTCTTTGTTGTCACTGTCTGTGCTCATATACTCCATTACTGTTTCTCCACTTCTGCTTATTCTACCTGTAAAAAGCAAGCCAAAACAACAACAGAAAACGAGAATAAGATTTCACAGTTGTTTTAAGAAGTGAAATTAGAGATTTCAACATGGAAAATATTTGCTATGGGCAACCTGAACAGATATGTCTGAAATAGTTATACAGCAAGGTGGAATGGGGTGGAGCATTGTGCCATTTATACATACACAGGCTCAATTACTTCAGCACAAGGCTACAATTATATTGTCCTCAATTGTATCAGCATAAAATCACAATCCATATGTATTATTGGGTGTCAAATCCAATAGATTTCCAAATAAATACAGTAAGTCTGCTTGTTAAACAAACTCACTTAATGTGGTTTCTATAGTTATACATGAAAGACACTGAATACAGTAGAATCACTCAGGAGGATCTAGAGATGTTTAGAAAAGTGCTCTCTCTAGGCCTCCAGCATGATTCTGTGGTCAACATCCATCGTATGTTCCACTAGATGTTTAAGTTCCATTTAATTCAAGGGAAATTGTAAACAAACAAGATATTAAACTATCACTAAGTTCAATGGGACATCGCTATGTTCAGAGGCCTTTTCCAGTAAACGATCAAAAGCAGGTTTAACAGCTAGCAGGACCAACCATGCTGAAGTAGGGCACGCTCACTGTGGTCTCGTCATTAGACTCTAATGAGAGGGTGGCACTCACTGACATGACAAACAGAAGAGATCAAGTCTGTGGGAACTGCCTGAACAGACCAAGTGGAGCAGAGTTGGAAGTCAGCTGCTCAGGCGTACAATGACAGAAACAGGGTGGTCTCACTGGGCAGAGAGGCACCACCCACCCAATCCCAAAATTCCTCCGCCAATACTTTATGGACCAGGGAGGTTTAACAGGCAGCCGCTCCCTTCTCTCCATGTGTCAGGAGGGTGCTGGGCAGCTAACTTGATGCACTTGGCTACACATATGATGTAGTCCTGGCTTTCCTTCTGGTGATCTTGTTCTCTATCCTACTAGCCTAAGTAGGCATCAGATACTATTTGACATGAGAAAGTAACGAAGGTAAAACAGCCCTATAAAGTCACTGTCATTCTTCCAGAGCTTGGCATTATTATTTATTTGACTTTGGGATAGCTGACTAAGGGAGGCTGGGAGTTGTTGTCTAAAATGTAACTGTTCCAAGCAATGTGTTCTTCACACTGAGCTTGTGCTTCAGCCTTTTTGCTGTGCCTACAAAGGAAGCAATGGCTACTACTATTTAGACCATGGAATGTTGTTAGATGTTCACTATGTATTGTGTTATGTGTGGTTTGTTTTTATATTGCTGAAATGTTTTTATGATTTTTGCTATTATATTTTAACTATGTTGAATCTCAGGCTTGTCCCCATGTAAGCCGCCCAAGTCCCTTCGGGGAGATGGTGGCAGGGTACAAAAATAAAATTATTATTATTATTATTATGACACAAAAACACAGTATGACACAGCAAACAAGATATATATGCTGGATTTCATATCACAAAATCACAAGTCAAACACTTCTGAAGCATTTAGGACTGTGTAATATATTTTCGAATGATGTATGCAGATCCAAGTAAGGTGATCTTTTGCAGTTGACAGATCGTGATTTTGTCAATGTTTATTGTTTCCAAATGCCAACTGAGATCTTTTGGCACGGCACCCAGTGTACTGATTTTTATTATTTGAAACACAACAAGATGAGTCCACAGCATTATTATTATTATTATTATTATTATTATTATTATTATTGGGGAGGCTTTCTGAAGACATTTCTCCTCACTTCCACTTTCCAGCAGAAAACATGACTGCAGACTTACACGGAAGCAAAGAATGTGGGCTGGCTTTGGAAGTATGCTGCTGCTCAAGTTCTCAGTGGGTTTTTTTTTAAAGAAAATAGTGGAAACATTTAGTGTTAATGTTCCATGCTGTCTCGTTCACTCACAGGTTTCAACTGGTCTGGTAAACCAGCCCAGAATTTGGAAACATTACCTTTTGTAACTTTATTTCTCAGGATACCCCAATCAGTATGACCATAGCCACTGAATCCAAGTTTTAACCAGAAGTTTAAAAGAGCTATCCAAGGTGCAAGTTCTATTTTGGGATTAGGTTCAGCATCTATTTTACAAATGTATTCAGAGTGGATTCATCATCATGCCAATAAGGAAGCCATTAGCTTTTATTGACTGATGCGGTCTAAAAGAAAGTAACTTTCCGAAGCTCTGTTGCAGTTTTTTCTTTCTGTCTGACTTTCTTTGCTTCCCATCCTCTTGTAGAAGAAATCAAATGTAAGAGGACTCTCCAAGGAAAAGATGGGGCCAAATTATAATACTGTATAGTATGTGGTGCACAACATACAGCTCATGTGACCTTACAGGTACTAGCCAATAAGTGCCCCTCAAATTATAGCTGCTACAAATCCCACTGTGGTGATAGTTAGCCAATATCTGGCAGAAAGATAACTATCTCCCTGCATCTAAGTATTGCATGCAAATGCTGAGAAAATATGACATCCCAGCAACAAAAGTGCAATATTAGGAGGTGATCGCTGAAAAGCATCAAAATCCCACTGGGACACTGCAAGAGTACCAAATGGAAACGATGGCATGATCAAAATAACAATCTTCACCAACTATTTTCTTCATTAGGATAAGCAAAGAACCCATGCAGTGGATAAAGTTCAGTAATCATTATGAAATTTGTCAGTAAAGTACATTTCCAGCAATATGTGTTGCAATCTGAAAAAGAGAAAGATAGTTGCAAAACTCCACTTTACAGGAGCCTACCATTAACATTCTACTCCTATACACTCCTAATCCTCAGGTAAATTCCTTCTGTGAATTGTTTCCAGTTTGAATTTTTCTTTTTTTAAATGCAGATTCTTGACATAGTTTGGCTAAAGGGATGAAGGAGGAAATGAGAACTTACAGGAATCCAAAACTGACATGTCAACTAAAAGCACTTGACAGTCCACAACCAGAAGGAACCTTCCTATTCACAACACACTCCTCAAAAACCTGGAAAAACAAGGATTGCATTATTTTAGACAATGAGTTGACTGGAAATCCCCCAAGACATACCACTCCCCACTGGCAACTGCTTGCATCACGAAAAAGGAACCTGAGCAGTTGCAAATGTTGTGGATTGCAACCAGAAGTGCCCCATCTTTTTCTCTGATGATATATTTTAAAAGCACAAATCAACTCAAGTGAGCTGTGCACTTAACACAAGGGCAAGAACTGTTTTCCAGTTTGACCATGACAGAGCTTCTTAAAAAACAACACAAAAACACGCCTTGTCTAGAGAATGACTACTTTGTCAGAGGAACATTCAGCACTGAACTCATGGGAACAAAATAGAAAATTCCACTGAAAAGGGGATTACCACAGCCAATTTAGGGAGCAACTCTATTGTAGAATTAACACAGCTTGAAACGACTTGAACTGCCATGGCTCAATGCTATAAAATCCTGGGATTTGTAGTTCGATGAAGCATGAGCATTCTTTGTTGGAGAATGCTAATGACCATGTAATCCCACAACTCCCATGATTCCATAACATTGAGCCATGGCAGTTAAAAGTGGCCCCAAACTGCATTAATTCAACAGTGTAGATGTGCCTTTAAATTTTGAGCTACAACTGGTACAGGAACCACATCTGCAGTGCATCCATGTTGTATTTGATCCCCTCATTCCTTTAAAAAAAATAGCACAGAGATGGTGCCTACCTTTTTTCTATCCCAAGCCAAGTGCCTCTCAGCTCACATGGCTTGCTTAACTTGCTCACATGGATCGGTCACATGTATCGCTGTGTATGGCAAGAATGACAAAGTGGACACAGTGACACAGATAGAAAGGAAGAGACCAGTTTGCTCCTCCCAAGGCTGGACAGGTGACACCTGACTATAACGTGCCTGATGATAGTGGCGTGCTTAGCTATCATTTTGGGTCAAGATTGCTATCTCTGTGTGGCTCCTTGTGTTGCTTTCAGCAAATTCTTTTGAAGGGAATACGTAGACAACAGGCCTCCCATCATCAGTACAAAAAGACCAAGTGTTGTGGCCCAACATTAACAAAAGATGGGGAGGATATGCACATTTGCAAATAGCTACTAGCAAACGCTAGCAAACCCCTAGAGTAGCAGTGAAGCAAAAAGGGAGGAGGGAAGGTTAAACACGCTTGTTGTAAAGGCAGAGTAAAAGGAGAGTAAAAACCTGGCTCTGGGAGCAAGCTTTCAAAGATAGTGCAGTGCAATAATTTTAATCTGGAATATGTGCAATTGATTATGGAACGGCCTTAGAGTTTGATTCCTGGATGGCGTGTTTGTAACATTGAAATGAATTTTCATTAAGTTTAATATGTATTATTTTAATCTGATTTATTTTAAGTTAACGTTTGTATGTCTTAAGGCACTGTGTAGTTGCCATACATAAACTGACTTGAGTCCCCCTCGGGGTAGAGAAAGGCAGGATATAAATAAGGTAAATAAATAAATGTATAATAAATAAAAGTGTTCTGCTACAACTCTCACCATGAGTAACGGACATTGTTGCTACTGGTGACAGACCATGCATGGGCAAACTTTGGCCCTCCGGGTGTTTTAGACGTCAACTCCCACAATCCCTAACAGCCTCAGGCCCCTTAAGTGGCTGAGAGGAAAAAGGGGCCTGAGACTGTTAGGGATTGTGGGAGTTGGTCCAAAACACCTGGAGGACCAAAGTTTGCCCATAACTGTGATAGACACTAGTTTCACCCATATGAAGGGTCCTAGGTTGGGGAAGGCTGATAAGTATGATCCAACCTCAAACTGGCCACAAAGCAATGTAAGAGAAAAGGAACAAACTACCGTATATTCCGGCATATAAGACGACTGGGTGTATAAGACGACCCCCAACTTTTCCAGTTAAAATATAGAGTTAAGACAACTCCCATGCATAAGACTACAGCCGCGTATAAGACGACCCCTGACTTTTGAGAAGATTTTCTTGGGTTAAAAAGTAGTCTTATACGCCAGAATA